AAAAGAGATGGCCCAGCGCCTGCAGTACTCACAGCGCTCACACAGAAACAACATGAGTGCTGTAACTGACATGTCCATCCAGGCGCATGGCTGTGCTTTTCCTACTGCAGGCAAACACGAACACCAGGCAGGCAGTAGGCGATCGAGAAGGGTTAGGACCATCTGAGCACCCCCAGATCCCACAGAGGTACAGGCAAGCAGCCCCCTAATTCCCACTCGCTCAGGAATGGAAGGTCGTTTAGTGCTCCCCTCTCTGAGACCCAGGAGTCCCCGGCCCCCAGCCCCAGGAGCCCAGAGCCCCAGCGTCTGCAGGATCTCAGGTAATGGGTTCCGTCTCTCTCCCAGCTGCACACGAAGGCCGGGCTCAGGTAACTCGGGTTCATTCCGTGGCATTTACAGGTGGCCCCGCGCCCCCATGGCGCCGGATCCTGGCAGGGAACTGGAGTCTCTAGACGTCGGGGACCGACTGGGAAGTCGGCGGTAGGGGCCGCGCGGCCGGGGCCAGCGCCAGGCGCTCGGCCGAGTGCACCAGGTCCAGCACCGCCGACGGCCGCGCCGCCTCCAGCATCTTGAGCAGGTCGCGCGCGTGGCCGCGGAAGGCCTCGGGCGCGTACACGCACTCCTCGGAGAAGTAGTCGAGGCGGCGGAAGTGCGCGTACAGCACCACCTCCTTCTGCGACGCCAGCTGCAGCGGGCGGCAGCGCGGCAGGGCGCCCCCCTCGCCCGGGGAGCCCAGGCCCCCGCCCCGCGCCAGCCGGCCCCGCGTCGCCCCGCAGGAAGTTCATGAGCACCGTCTCCGCCATGTCGTCCGCGCTGTGTCCTGGGCGGGGGGGGACGGGAGCCGTGAGGAGGGGGCCGCGGGAGGAGACCCCGGGGCACCGCGGGGCGGCCTGGGGGAGGCTGCGGGGGGATCCGGCGAGAAACGAGAGGGCGACGCACCCAGGCTCCCTGGAGCAGCCCGGGTGCCTCACTTACCCCCCACTTATCGCAGACCAGGCCCTCTGCTAGGTGCCCTTTCATGTATCGAGTAAAAGTGCTTTACGCAACAAATCTCATTTCAATCTCAGTGAAAAGTGTACTTCAGACTGCACAGACGTCCAAATGGCCTTTGATGGAGACTCTCAAGTGGGCTGTTGACATAAGTGCCTCTGGGAATGCAGATCATGGTGTTTAGAGGACCAGGGAGGAAGTAACTGCGCATTTACACAACAGTCACCGTAAAATGGAAGCTAAATTTATTCTGCAACTTGTCATCTTATACTTGTGTGTGTGTGAAAGTCGCTCAGTCGTGTCCGACTCTTTGCGATCCCATGGACTGTAGCCCTCCAGGCGCTTTTGTGTAAGTCTATAGTAAAACAAGGGTCTTAGGGCTTCTCAATTCAGCCATACTTGCCCTCCTGGGGGCCTTTGCTGTTTCCTCTGCTCAGAATCTCTCCCAGTCCCCTTTTGGTCCTTCATGTAAGGACCCACTCAACCTTCAGGTCTCTGATTACTCAGGAAACTCTTCCTTTCTCCCTTCACTAGGTCTTTCTGCATCACTTTCCTTAGCTGCACTTATCAGGTTATAATTATGTATGTGAGAAACGGACAGGATCAGCCACTGGCTTGCACATCATCATAACAGCAAATAGTTTACTGTTTCTCAGTCTCTTGTCTGAGTGTTTAATACATAATTCATCTAAGTCCCAGTAAGTCTAGGATCTGGATAATATTAATAGCCCTGTTACATAGGAGAGGAAACCGAGGTTAGGTAGTTTGTTCTCCGCCGGTACGCAGCTTGCATGTGTACAAAATAAATGGTCAATAATAATTTGTTGAAGCAATGACTGGGACAGAGAAAAAGTTATCAGAAAGAAGCTGAAAGACAAAAGGAGTTAAAAGACATGGTTGCGTTTCAGACTATAGATGGCTTCTGATGGGCGATACCCCTCCATGCCCCTCCTTTTATGAAAACGGACACAGAGAATGTCATTAAAAAAAAAAAAAAAAAACCAGTGCAGAAAACCACAGCCCTAGCCCCAGAGAGTACCCTTCCACCCCTCTACTTGCCAGCATGTGTGTACCAGATAGGGCTTCCCCAGTGTCTCAGCAGTAAAGCATCCACCTGCAATGCAGAAGCTGCAGGAGACGCAGGATCTATCCCTGAGGTGGGAAGACCCCCTGGAGGAGGGCATGGCAACCCACTCCAGTATTCTTGCCTGGAGAATCCCACGCACAAAGGAGCCTGGCTGTTGTCGGCTACAGTCCATAGGGTTGCAAAGAGTCAAGAGACGACTGAAGCGACTTGGCATGCATGAATGTGTACCAGATAATGGCAGTGACTCAAAAGCGTGTCATGCCCATCCTAAGGACGTGCACATACTATGCCTATGAACCTTTAGGGAGCGTGCATATCCCCTTCTTGCTATTTAGATTCCCCAGTTAAGACATACGAAGTCTCCACTACCACTTGGGCACGCACTCCAGCGCCCTTACGACGCCTGACCTTCTCCCGCGCATGCCCCCCTCCCACCACGCCCCCTCTGGGCTGCGCCTGCGCTCACCGGTCACGACGTGCGTGGCTCCCACGAGGCGCGCCCCTTCCTCCAGCGCGCTGCGCCGCAGCACCCCGCAGAAGGTGCAACAGGCGCGGCTGCGGCCGGAGCCGGCCGTGCTAGGGCCACGGCGTCCATCGTCCAGCCCCCGAAGAGATCCGCGTAGGCCACGACGTGAGCGGGAGCTCCCAGCGCGCCGCCTGCCGCCGCACGGCCGCCAGCACCGCGTCCCGGTAGCCGCCGATGCCCTCGTCCACCGCCACGAGGTGTAGAAAGATGCCCAGGCTCGGGGCCAGCTCGCGCAGCACGTGCGCCAGCACCGTGGAGTCCTTGCCGCCCGAAGCGCCTACGGCCACCACGGCGCCGGGCGGCAGCAGGCGGCCCGCGACCACCGTGTGCAGCACCTCGGCCTCGAAGACGGCGCAGAAGCAGGCGCCGCACAACGCCTGGCCCGAGCGCGGACGGCGGAGTGCGGCGCGCGCCTTGTGGCAAGAGGCGCACTGCGGGCGGGCATCGTGGGGTCCTGGAGAGGTGGGAGGGTCGGCTTCTCCTGGATGGGTGGAGAGGGGAGGCAGGTTACACGTGGATTCCGGGTTGCGGGGGTTATTGCTTGCCTGCCGGGAGGCTGCCTGGATAGTGCCCAGAGTAAAACCATTGTAACACTCTTTCCTGCAGCACTGTGCAGGCCTGGCATCTTCAAGTCTCATCTTAACCTTTCAATCACTCATTCATTCTTTCATTCAGCAAATATCCACTCCGTGCCTTCAAGGTGCCCAACGTTCTCTAGTAATTGGGGACACAGCAATGAGCAAAACAGGAAAGGTTGCAGACACTAAGTTCTAGTGGAAGAGCTGACTCAAGATACTTTCCAGATATGAGAAGTAATAATATGAGGGAATTACCCTCTAAGCTGAGGTCAGAAGGAGGAGTCAGGCATTTGATCAGTGGGAAGGATTTTCCTGATAAGAGTTAACAACAAATGCAAAGGATAGGTCCTGTTCGTGTTCAAGTTTGTTGTGGTTAAAGGCGGGAAAGGTTCCAGGGGCTTGGAGGTTGGCAGGGCAAGGAGCTTGGACTTTATTCTGAGAGAAACAGGAACGGCTGGACGATTTTAAGCTCTAGTGACAGAATCTAATTTTTATTTTAACAGGATCCCTTGGACTGCGTGTGAATGAATACAGGGTGGAGCCTGGAAAGGGCCGACATGGGCAGACCAGTGAGGAGGTTCCTGCAGTGATCCAGGTAAGCAACACTGGTAGCTCGGAGCAGAGTGGAAACAGTGGGATTGGAGAGAAGTGGTCAGATTCTTGATCTGTTTTGGAAACAGGGCAGATGGGACTTTTACAAGCCTCAGGGGAGGGCAGTGGGTGAAAGACACAGGACTCAGGACAACCTCAAGTTTTGTTTTGACTTGAGCACTTGGAAGGTAGTGGGACCATTTAGTAGAGAGGAGGTGGGGGTTGGGGAAGAATGGGGAAATACTGTGAGAGGGGTGAGTTTGGGCGTGGTAGATTTGAGGTTCTTTGCTCTGGAAGTCTTTTCAGAACCCTGAGCTGGGTGTGCCGCTTCCTCCAGGCTTCCACGGCCACCTAATTCCCCCTTTTCCCCCCGCCCAGGCCAGCCCTGACCACTCTAGGTTGTAATCAGGACAGAAGAGGGTGCGCTCGCACCGCACCAAGCTTGGGGCGGGAGTGGGGTGCGGTGGAAACGAGTCAGACCCGGCCGGCAGAGTTCAAATCAGGAACGCCAGCTGTTTAGGACACTCCAGCCTGGAGGGCCGTCAGGAGACTGCCTTTGGGGGTTTATGGAGGGGAGTGCTGTCTCACCAGGAATGCCTACCGAGTGAGTGGGAGAGATACAGAGATACAAAGACTCCTCCACTGCAGCGCTACAAAGGGCCGGGATAGGCCGGGAGGAGGCACTCACCTGAATAGAACCCAAGCGGGAAGGTCCAGGCTCCGAGAAAGCGCGGAAGCAAATAGAACTACGACTTCCAGAAGGCTTTGGGTCTACCCGCCGATATCTCCCAGGTACCCATGCGGCGGTTGAGTCGGTGGTGCTTACTGCCCTCGGACGAGCTGGGCCTACAACTCCCGGCGGCCCTCGCGGCGACGTCTCTAGCTCCGCCCACAGCTCCCAGAGTGCTCCATGCTTCCGGGCCAGAGGGAACCCCTCTTGCGCTTGCGTACGGGTGGGTACGCCTGTGGGTTTTGTGGTTTTTGCGCTTCAGGGCGCTGTTAGCCGTGTGTGGTTTAATCCAAAGGTAAATGCTTTTCAGGTTTTGTGCTCTTGTGGGAGCATGGTGGAATTTGTGGTGGGGGTGGAGAGGCGTCGGAGTTGGGGATGATGGGGATGGGGTGCGAAAGGGAGAGGTAGCGAGGGCGCCGTACCGATTCCAAGGTTCTGGCTTACAGTTTGGGTTCTTGCGCGCGCGCAAGCAGACGTGGGAGTGAGGGTGCGCCCCGGCCCAGGCCGCCGCGGTGCGCACCGGCGGTGTTAACGCTTATGCGGAGCAGAAATATAGCGGTTTGCGGTTCTTACACTGGTGCACCGGGCTCAAGTCAGGAATGCGGTGAGCAGTACGCGCACGCCTGGTGAGGGCCGAGCTCCGGATGGAGGGCAGGTGAGACGGAAGGTCCTCGAATCAAAAGCCGGAGCACCTTCCCAAGAATCACCCGGAGCCCTGCACCCAAGGTCCAGGCCCTCAGCCTCTTTCCAGCCCCCAAACTGCCCCTTTCCTGCCTGTTATAGTCTGACATCCTCATATCTCTACCCCTGTGAGACCCTTGAGACGGTGGGGATGGGGGACGTTTGAGTGTCTGAACCTGTTAGCTGAAGCGTGGTCATCGGGTTCAATCGTCAGTCATTTCCTAGGGCTTCCTGCATGCCAGGTCCTATCCTCTGGGCGTACCAGGCCTGCCTGGAGAGATAAGGATGGCAAAGCTTGATGTGGAGGAGGCAGATGACCGGGGCTACAGGGGTCCAGAGGTGACAGGTGCTGCTAACCAGGGTATGGAGTGGGGGTAAGGGAGCGGCACTGGACTTAATAAGGAATCAGCAGTGTGCCAGACACCCATCCCCTGCACTTCCCTATCACCATCTCCAGTTCCTGGTCAGTAAAATGGGGATGATAATAGTGGTACGTGCGTCACAGTGTGTGTGAAAATAAATGAGTTAGTAGGGAAGTGTTTACTGGGGAAAAAAAGACAACACTTTTTTTGGTTTTTTCTTTCACTTCTCATAACGGCATGGCTCCCATTTCTGGAACATGTCTAAAATTTCTTTTAAAGGAAGTCTTGAGTTGGGCATTTCAAAACCTCAGACAATCTACAGAGAGTCTACGGCAGTTCTCAGTTGAGGGTGAGTTTATCCCCAAGAGAACATTTGGTGATGTCTGGAGACATTTTTAATTGTTGCAACTGTGATGCAAGGGTCAGAGTGTGGCCGGTGCCTGGCAGGAAGAGGCCAGAGTTGCCGGTAAACACATGCTGCACAGAATGGCCTCCACAGCGCAGAATCATCCGGCCCTACATAACAGTAATGCCGAGGCCAAGGGGCCCTGGCTTAAGTGGTATTCTGCTGTGCTTTGGTTTTCAACCCCCAAAGCAGGATGCACATTCAGGTGTTCCTGTGTTGATTTTAGTCTCTGGCTTTGAAAGTTTCTTTAAGTATTTTGGTGGCTCTCCACACTACTCATATACTTTTGAGTAAGAAGTTAGTTAAAAACAAAGTTTGTCTTAAGTGCTCGGGCCTGGTGCACTGGGAAGACCCAGAGGGATCGAATGGAGAGGGAGGTGGGAGGGGGGACCAGGATGGGGAATACATGTAAATCCATGGCTAATTCATGTCAATGTATGACAAAAACCACTGCAATGTTGTAAAGTAATTAGCCTCCAACTAATAAAAATAAATGAAAAAAAAAAACAAAAACAAAGTTTGTCTTAAACTGGGTGCCACTGAAAAAAAGAAAGTGGATGTGAAAGCTGGCCTGCCAGGGTGACTCCATGTGCCCCTTGCTTAGTTTGTGTGACCTTGAGTGAGTGACTTGACCTTTCTGGGCTTCCTGTATTCAGTGGGGATGATAAAATAGCAGCTGTTGGAGGAACTAGATGATTTCATAGTTTCAGAGCACCCTGAACCATGCCTGGTGCTTCGTTAAGTGCTATGAAAAGAGCAGAGGGCAGTGTCTGCTCCTTATGTCTCTTTCCGGGGCCTCAGTTCATTATTCATTAACTTTGTTTCTGAAGGGGAAGACTGAGTTGGTGTCAGGGGGCTTCTGGAGAGTGGCTGCAGCTTCTCATTGTTGCAGCGTAAAGATCGAGTCCCTCAGCCTGGTGTTAGTGACCTGGCCCCTGGACTTCTCAGCCTCACCTCTCACCCTGCATCTCTGGCAGGCCCCCATATTTTCCGGAGGAGGAACTTTTTCTGCCAGGTGTCTACACACGCTGTCTCTTCTTCTGAAAACTCTCTGTCCTGCACCCCTCCTCCCCCAACACCCTGATTCCTCTTTCTCATCCAGATGGCCATGTGGGTGTACTTCCCCCAGGAAGCTCACGGGACCCCTCCTCCCCTGCCCTGGTTTAACAAGCCACCTCTGGGCTCCCATGGCCCTTGGTCCCTTGCTTAGTCAGAGGCCCTGTCCCCTTGGGTTGTGGCTGTCTCCGTTTCACTGTCCCTTTGGGTTGGCTGCTTTCTGAGAGAAGGGTCTGGTTGGGTTTGCATCTGGGTCTGTAGCGTCGCCGTGCAGAAGGCCTGGAACAGAGCAGGCAAGGTATTCATAGCCCGTCCTGAGCTGCTCCTGGCCTGCCTCTCCTTCCTTGCCTCCTCCTTTTATCTACACTCCAGGGAACACTGGGCTCAAGCAGGAAATTGCTGCCTTGGAACATGGTGGTTAAGGACAGAGGCAGCCTGGTTCAGATGCCAGGATCTGGTTGTGTGAATGTGGCTAGGTTACATTTCCTCACCTGTAGGGGATGAAATAGTCCAGCCTTCATAGGAGTAGAGCAGTGGTTCTCAATTTGGGATGATTTTGACCCACAACTGGGGATGGAGTAGTGGCATCCAGTAGGCAGAGACCAGCAGTGTTACTAAATCTCTGACACACAGGTCAGCCTCAATGGCGAAGAACTAGCTTACCCAAAATGTCAGTAGTGCTAAGATTGAGAAGAGGTACATGCTGAGTGCTTAGAACAGCTCTGGAGCCACAGAAAGCACTCGAGATAATTAGCTACCATTACCGTGGTGGCGCTAGTGGTAAAGAACCTGCCTGCCAATGCAGGAGACACAAGAGATTTGGGTTCGATCCCTGGGTCAGGAAGATCCCCCAGAGGGGAGGGCATAGCAACCCACTCCAGTATTCCAGCCTGGAGAATCCCATGGACAGAGGAGGCTACAGTTCATAGGGTTGCAAAGAGTCAGATAGGACTGAAGTGACTCAGTATGCTCTGTGACTGCATACACCAAGCTCCCTGTTGCCTCCACCTATCTGCCCAGAATACCCTTTCCCCGCTTTTGATTGGGGCTTAGATGCCTACTTTGGAGAAGGAAATGGCAACCCACTTCAGTACCCTTGCCTGGAAAATCCCATGGACGGAGAAGCTTGGTAGGCTACACTCCATGGGGTCACAAAGAGTTGGACACGACTGAACGACTTCACTGTAGATGCCTACTTATCCTTCAAGACTTACCCAGATGTTACCTCTTTGGGGAAGCCTTCCCTGACCTCTACCCCCATTGTCCCCCCAATACACACCTTCAGTCGGGCAGTGTCTTGAGTAACGCATACAAACCTGGACTCAAACTCATGCTCTCTTTCCACACCTGAATAACTTTGAGCCTCAGTATCCCTTTCTATGAAACCAAAGGATGGCTTTGAGGATGAAATGGACCAGCACCAGGCAAGTGTTTGATTAATGTCAGGACTCCCATTGTGGAATACAGAGTCAATAAAACCTAAAGGCTTAGTGGTGGTTTGGATTGAGGGAAATTGTTAAGAAATAATATGCTTTTTAAGTATGTTTTACTGCAGAAAAAATAGGAACAAGCAAAATTATCTGTAGCACAGGGAAAGTTAAGAAAAAAGATGTTATATGCTATGTTCACGAGACCCACTTATAATGAACAAAGACTCAGAAAATGAAAACAAAAGACTGGGGAAAGATACACTAGGGATTTAACTCAAGAAACCTTTTAGCCACGTGAGCCACCAAACATTTTGAGTCAAAGAGCACTCAGTAATAAATGTCATCACAAATGAAAGAGAAATAACCAGGATGATGAAACAGTTCTAAACTCAGGTGCACCTAACAACATAATCCCAAAAGAAAACTAAAGTTAACAGGAGGACAAGAAGAAACTGACACATTTCAGAAGAACCGTGAGTGACATTTTACTGCATCTCTCATTAATTAATTGACAGCATTAAAGCTATGGAAAAATTGAACATGACCACTCACAAGCTTGCACTCAGCGACTGAAATGGAACCCAATGATGTGAGAATATAGGTTTTTGCCTGGCACATGTAGATTATGTACAGATGTCTGAGGTGTGGCTGTTCAGAATGGTACCCACCAGCCACGTGGCTAGTGAGCACCTGAACTGTGGATAGTCTGAATTGAGCTGTGCTGTAAAGGTAAAAATATATCAGATTAGAATACTTAGAGACCCACAAGTGAGTCTCAGCAAATAGCAAAGTCACTCTACTCCCAAGGACAAGGGACCTTAACCAAGAAGCTTAATATGTATACTTCCGATCTAATAAATGAATTTTTCCCATTAGCCTCTATTTTATGATGTAGGAGGGCTTCCCTTGTGGCTCAGCTGGTGAAGAAGCCACCTACAACTCGGGAGACCTGGGTTTCATTCCTGGGTTGGGAAGATCCCCAGGACAAGGGAACAGCTACCCACTCCCGTATTCTGGCCTGGAGAATTCCATGGACTGTATAGTCTATGGGGTTGCAAAGAGTCAGACACAGCTGAGCAACTTTCACTTTGTGATTTAGGAAATGGCTAAAACAGCTCTTCATAAATCTTGAAACTAAGACATAAGAAGTCTGAGTTGTCTGTGTACGTGTGGGTATCAGTTCAGTTGCTCAGTCGTCTCCGACTTTGCAACCCCATGAACCACAGCACGCCAGGCNGATTGGATGCCATGATCTTAGTTTTCTGAATGTTGAGCTTTAAGCCAACTTTTTCACTCTCCTCTTTCACTTTAATCAAAGGGCCCTTTAGGTATAGGCATATATTATAGTCATCTTAAAACACTTTTGTTTGGGAGACTCCCAAATCATTTTGAAAAGCTTTGTACCACTACCTCACTCATTTTAAGTCAACACCTGAAATTTTTCAACGTGAAGACATTTATGTTATTCACTGGTAGAAACTGTATATGTTATAAGGTGACATGAGGGTAGGCTGTTCATGGAATAATTATTTCATTACATGACTCAGATAGGTTGTAATTATCTTAATGAAGAATGTGCACCAATTCTAACCAGTTACCTGGATATTATATTCAGTGTAACTTGAGAATTTTGTCCTTGGAAACATTCCAGTTAATTTTCTTTTAATTAGCTTCACTAAATTGAAATGCTTTTGGTTCTGAAAACAGAACATCCCAACATGAGCCAAGCTTCGCCTTCACCAAGAGGAATAGAACACCTCACCATGCAGGGAGTTTTGTGTACACACCCCACTTGGAAGACCTCTGCCTTGTTAGATAGAACAGCTTCTGTATCCTCAAAGACATTTCTTACCTCCTTGGAAGTCAGGAAGTTTAGGGATGGCCTTAGAACAAAAAGCACAATCTGATTTTGGGCATGGACTTCTGAGCCTAACAAATGTAGCCAGAAAGATATTCTCCTGGGAATTTCCTGGAGGTCAGTGGGTAGGTCTCCGAACTTCCACTACAAGGATTGAAGATTCAACCCCTGGGTGGGGAACTAAGATCCCACATATATATATAAATTTTTTTCCTGATTTTAAAAAAAAATGGGTTTTCATCCTTAAGATACACTAATAGTTCTAATGTGAGATTTTCTTTGGAAAGGGGAGTTTCTCAATGGTCTGCTTTCCACACATTCCCTCTTGGCTAATACAACATTATTATTAGAGCAAGCTGTACTACGTCACTTGTGAAACATGGGTATATACTCCTAATTTGAAGCATGTAAAGTGAATGAGCATTGCTGCTAGTTTAAGACATCAGAATTTTTTCATGAAATCTTACATGAAAAATCAGGGATTTTTTTCATGAAGTCTTACATGACTTTGAGAAAACATAAAATCGATTTATTCATCAGCAATGAAATGGAGGTGCACTTTTTCTTTTAGATGAAACAACAGAAATTTATTTCTTCATAATGTTGGAGGCCAGAAGTCCAAGGTCAAAGTTTGATATTTTCTGCGGAAGTAACAATAACACAACTTTATGCTTCCATACTTATAGTCACAATGATACTGCCAAATTCTTTTTAAAAATTGTTTATAGTTAAACTTTGGCCTTCCTGGGCCCCAAATACCAGAGAAGGCAATGGCACCCCACTCCAGTACTCTTGCCTGGAAAATCCCATGGACGGAGGAGCTTGGTAGGCTGCACCTCATGGGGTCGCGAAGAGTCGGACACGACTGAGCGACTTCACTTTCACTTTGCACTTTCATGCATTGGAGAAGGAAATGGCAACCCACTCCAGTGTTCTTGCCTGGAGAATCCCAGGGACGGGGGAGCCTGATGGGCTGCTGTCCATGGGGTCGCACAGAGTCGGACACGACTGAAGCGACTTAGCAGCAGCAGTAGCAGCCCCAGATACAGTAGTAGTATGTAGCACTAAATCACAAAAGCTGTGGGTACAGTAGAGATTAATTGTAAAATAGGAGTAAGAAAACAATCGCTTGAGATCTACAAAACTCTAAGGCTGTAAAATACTTGCCTCCCAAGTATCCTGTGGAATCTGAAGGGTCATTTTTATCAGATTTTCTGAGAGACAAATTACTCAAATAGCAATTGCCTTTCCTGTCCCAGCACGAGGAGGATGGGAATGTGAGTCTGGGCGTCCGAACTCTAACCAGTGTGATGTGTAATCGATATGACGTGTAACTAACACACTTGCTCTGTTGATGGCTCCCCAGAAACCACCTGATGCATCCGACTCCTGCATGAAGTATGCTCCTGAGAGGCCACACCCCACCTGAGACTCTTCACTCCTCCAACCTCACCAACTCCCTGCCTTAGAACAGGAAATATCACCATCGAGACTTTGTTGGCACCTCCTGTTCACAGAACAGCTGGACACAGGCCCCCAAGACATGACTCAGGTGTGGTCCGCACCCACAGCATTCCCATCTGGGAGACAGGGATTATGACGAGCCCTGCTATTTCATCCCAGCAAATGCATCCATAAATTGCTGCTGGGCCAACTCGACCAGGGCATTGCAAAGACTGGTCTTGGTCCCCAAAAGACAGCACCAAATCCAGCTGAAGTTCCTGCAATGTTCTTGCCTACTGATGGAGAAGGGCATGGCAACCCACTCCAGTATTCTTACCTGGAGAATCCCATGGATGGAGGAGCCTGGCAGGCTGCGGTCCATGGGGTCCCAAAGAGTAAGACACGACTGAGTGACTAATGCTTCTTCTCGAGTGTTGAATCTCTTCTGTGTGTGAACGGGATGTATTTCCCCCATACCTATGGGGTCTTAGTTCTCATTTTGCTTAAAAGAGGGGTGTCTAAATCTAGCTGTGCCACTCCGAGCCTGGGTGGTATTCTCTGAAACAGTGCTCCTTTACTTATTTTTGGCTGCGCTGAGTCTTCGTTGCTGCAAGCGGGCTTTTCCCTGGTTGCGGTGAGCGGGTGCTGCTCTCTAGTTGGGATGCTGGGCTTATTGCAGCGGCTTCTCTTGCGGAGCACAGGCTTCAGTGGTTGTGGTGCATAGGCTTTCATTGCTCTGCAGCATGTGGGATCTCCCCAGAGCAGGATCGGACCTGTTCCCCTCCCTGCATTGGCAGGAGGATTCTTGCCCACTGCACCACCAGGGAAGTCCACAATGCTCCTTTAAAAGCTGCTTTCCAGCTGAAAGGCTGCGAGAAATTCCACCTTATGCCTGGCCCACTTTGCTACAGAAATTGGATTCTTGTTTCCTTAATGCTCCAACGTTGAAGGATTTTCTATCCCCCATCACATTCTGTCTTGCCCCGCCTTTGAGAGTCGGCCTGGAGCGTGTCTGTACTGAGATCATTTTCTGGTTCATATAAAAATATACTCGCCTGTTTAGTGACCAGGACAATGGATGATGCTGGGGCCCAGAGATGAGTCATGCCCAGGGCCACCCTCCCAGGGCTCCCAGGCTGGCAAGGAGGAGAGAGTGGATTTGGATCAGTCCGGTCTACTGACCAGAGCCGTGGCAGCAGAGATGCCAGGGACCAGGGGAGTCCTGACAAGATTGGACAGGAGTGAGGGATTCAGAGTAGAGTACCTGGATGCAGAGCACGTGAAACATGAGCAGAAGTTTACCAGGTGGAGAATCGCATCTGATTGATTCGCTTCCTGGGGCCTCCTGTGCAGAAATGCCGCGCACCTAGAACTGAGTCAGACCTAAACCTGCTGTTAGCAAGGCCCTCGTCTGATGGGGGCGGCTGACACGGACAGTCACAATCCATGATGATCAGATGGTGGATGAGGGGGATAACAGGGGCTACGGAAGCCACAAGGGGCTACTTGGTGCTTGTGGTGGCAGAGGGGAGAGGCCTCACCCAGAATGAGCAAGAGTGGAGTAGGTCCCTTCCTTTCAGGATGCTGGAGATGTTAGAGAACCTGGCCCTGTCCTGGGAAAATACTGAGTCCAGTCCAACCCCTTGATTTATGCACACTGCGGGTCCTCAGACAACAAACCGTAAGCCCCTTTTTACAGACAAGGACATCGAGCCCAAGAGAGATTAGTCACTTAGCCAGGGGAGCACCTAGCCAGCATCCAGTGTACCCAGAAGGTAGAGTGATGAGGCTGGAGATGTGTGCCCGGCAGGTCCTCAGAGCAGGTGGCCTGGCCTTGAGTGGCCTCGGCAAGTCTCTCTCTCGGTCTCCCTCTGTGCTGTGTGCAGAGCCAGGTGGGGAAAGATGGGAGCAGGAGACGGGGATGGAGCCCCGCAGGGCTGACGTGAAGGGTTTACAAGACGGGAGGAATGACCTTTTGTTTTCCTCCCCAGAATGGTACAGCAGAGGGGGACGCTGCTGTTATTTCTGGGGGTGCAGTTGCTGCTGGTGGGGGCATTCCTCTACCAGAACCACCACGGCTGCAGCCTCACCTTCTTCCTGCATTTTAACCAATGACATCTGCAAAACCCCTATTTCCAAACAAGATCACCTACTGAAGTTCCAGGTGGGTGTGAATTTGTGGGGGGACATGATTTAACCCAGTACACCGGGGTAGCGGGGGTTTCTGGGATAAGTCCCTGCCGGGCCCTGCGTGGCAGGGGTGGTGCCCTACTGTGGGCAGGCCCAGCACCTGCTCTCCCACCTGCACCCCTTCCTCCAGTGCCAGCGACTGCACTGTGCCCTCTACTTGGTGAGCCAGGTGCAGCAGGAATGAGGAGGCACAGGAGCAAGAGGGCAGAGGGGTCTGAGCCTGGCCTCGGTGAGTCGGGGCTGGAGTCTTCAGTGTCTGAGCTGAGAGTGTCTGCGCCAGAGAGTGTCCAGGGGGCAGGATTGATGCATCAAGAAGAACTTGAACTGGGGGAGACCAGAACCAAGGGCTATACGTTTGGTCCAGACTGGCTTAGGCTGGGATCTGCTTGAGTAGCTGACTAAGGGAAGGGCTCATCCCACTGAGTCTGGGTCTCTGAGACCAAGGCTTGTTGGATTGGGCAGCAACCCCAGGGGTAAAGTAAAGTGCTGGGTCTGAGGTCTGTGGGATGCCTGTTTGAATCTTTGCCTTGCCTATTACTACTTACGTGGTCTGAGGTTGGGACCAGTCTTCATCTCTCCATCCATCCATCCATCCATTCAACGCACTGTTCCTCAGTATGACTATGTATAGACTTGGGGAATCTGCGCTCTGTGCTACTGTTTTCTCATGAATCAAAGGTTCATTGAGATAATGAGTGTAAAGCAATGAGGCCAGTGCCTGGCACATAGTAGGTGCTTAATAAGTGACAGTGATGATGATGATGGTGGTGGTGGTGGTGATGGTTTTGATGGTGATGATGGTCATGATGTTGGTAATAATGATGGTGGAGGTTTGGTGACTGCTAATGATGTTGAAGATAATGAAGACAGTGATAGTGATAATGGTGGTGATGCCGATGATGAATATCATGGTAATGATAAGTGATGATGGTTATGGTTAAGATGGTGATGAAGAAGATGATGATAGAGGAGGACAAGGAGGAGAGGCAGATCTTATCCTGAGCATCACACCTAGTCTTTGTCTGGCAGAAGCAGAAAGAGAAACACAGGTGGTCCCCAGTCTCCTTACCTCTGCCTCCCTCAGACGACCCCTTGAAGGTGACGATCTTTGAGAACCTTGAAAATGGCCAAGAAGGGAGAGCTGAGAAACTGAAGATGCTGTCTGCCGAGGATGGGGATGGGGATTCAAGGTAAGTTTCCTAGAGGAGGTAACCTTTGAATTGAGCCTTCCTGGACAAGTCTGGGAATAAGAAGGGGTTCTAGGCAGGAGAATGGCACTCGGAAAGGTGAGAGAGGATGGGCCTGGCAAGTGGCAGGGACACCACTACCTGTGGGGAGTATCTCTGTCCACCCCAGGTGAACAACACCGCCTTCAACCCGGGCAAGCTGTGCAATGTGGGGTTCTGGGAGGCCATGCAGGAGGACGACTGGGACTGTGTCTTTTTCCATGATGTGAACCTGCTCCCAGAGGATGACCACAACCTCTACATCTGCGACATCTTCCCTGCCCCTGTTCCATGGCCATCGACAAGTTCAACTACAAGTAGGTGGAAGGAGGGGACCTCCTGTGGGGGACTCTTGGCCAGGCCCTGCCCATCTGAACAGTCCAGGCCCTGATCCCTGGGGCTGATGATGGGGAGGAGGAAGAGGCCTGGGGAAAGGCCTTGTAGATGGGGAAAACCTTCCTCCTGGATGTGGGTATCAAATGAGAGTGGGATTAGTTATCAGTGGGGGAGTCAGGATGCATTTAATAAAGTGGTAGGCAGAGAAGTTGTAACAGAGGTCAGAGGAGAACTTATAATAGGAGGGACCATTGATGGGGTCCCAAGATGATTCAGGGAGGGGATTTCCCAGGGTTATGTGAGGGGTCATCTCAAGGGGCAGGGCTGCCCCGGGATCAGGCACGGGGACACCCTGGGGGTCGGGGAGAGGTTACCAAGGGAGAGAGTGGGGAACGGCTAACGCGGAAATAAACCTTGTGCTCCTGGCCAGCAAAGGGCCAGGGCCGGTTGCCTGAAATGCCCTGTGCTTCCAACTCTCCCTGCCTCTGCAGGCTGCCCTACCAAGGCTACCGTGGAGGGGTGTTTGCCCTGTGCCCCATTCACTACCTGAGGATCAGTGGCTTCCCCAGCACCAGCTGGGGCTGGGGTCAGGAGGACAGTGACGTCACTGCCAGGTAGGGGTGGGGAGCCTCGCTCAGGGGCGGCAGGCCCCTCCATGGTGCGGGGGCCACAGGGAGCCCGACACTGAGTGGGAATGTGAGCTGTGTTGGATTGCGGGAGACACAAGTCACTCTGGCCTGAGGGGCCGGTGTGGATGGGGTCCCTGTCAAAGGAGACGGGCGTCTAGCCTCATGCCTTCCCCCCTGTAAGGCTGCAGCGTGGCAGGATGCTCCTCTTACGGCTTCATCTGCTCTTTGGCCGCTACCACATGCTGGAGGAGGGGCAGGACCCTAGCTTCAAGCAGAGCTCTCAGAGATGAGTCAGGTTGTGGGGTGGGGGTGGCCCATCCTGGGCCTGTTCCCAAGCCCTCAGCTTGCATGGCTGCCCGCTCAGCCCCTCCAGTCCTGGCCTTCTGGCCCAGATCCGCTGGAAGTGGTGACATGATGCCACAAACTCACTGGGATACAGGCTGCTCTCCAAGGAGCTGCAGCCCCTCTATACCAACCTCACCATGGACATCGGCCCCTTACTCCCAGGAGCCCCCAGGCTGAGGGGTATCTGGAGCCCGGAGAGAATCCCTGAGACCAGGGCTGCCCAACCATCCCACCTAGTTTCTTGTTAAAGGAGACTATTTCACTGGCTTCTCTCTGCCATCCCTGACCCCCATCCTTTCATTGCCATTCATTTGGTCACACAGGGCCTCACTCAAATTGACCACCTCTGGTTCTTTCCATACAGTTAAAGTGCTTAATGCTTATTCACCTGTTTATTTCTCACAAAGACTTGTGGGGTAGCACTACTGTCATCTTCCTTTTGAAAACCGGGGGCAAGACAAAGAAAAAGAAAAAAAAGAAAACCGGGGGCAGATAAATATCTTGCTTGATTGATATGGAATCAAGTACAGGAACCCAAGGGCTTCCCAGGTGGCTTAGTGGTAAAGAATCCACCTGCCAGAATGTAAATTGCTACAGCCACTATGGAAGACAGTATGGAGATTCCTTAAAAAAACACAAAAAACTAGGAATGAAACTACCACATGACCCAACAATCCCACTACTGGGCATATATGCTGAGAATACCATAATTGAAAAAGATACATGTATCCTAATGTTCATTGCAGCACTATTTACAATAGTTAGGATATGGGAGCAACCTAGATGTCTATCAACAGATGAATGGATAAAGAAAAGCTGTAGTTCATATATACAATGGAACATTGTTCATCCATAAAAAGGAATGCATTTGAGTCTGTTCTAACGAGGTGGGTGAACCTAGAGCCTATTACACAGAGTGAAGTAAGAAAGAGAAAAACAAATTTTGTACATTAATGCATATATATGAAATCTAGAAAGATGGTACTGATGAAGCCATTTGCAGGGCAGCAATGAAGATGCAGACATAAACAGACTTGTGGACACAGTGGGGGAAGGAATGGGTGGGACAAATGGAGAGAGAGCATGGAAACATGTTCATTACCATATGTAAAATAGATGGCCAGTGGGAATTTGCTCTATGACTCCGGGAGCTCAAACCGGTGCTCTGTGACAACCTAGAGCAGTGGGAGGGGGTGAGAGAGATTCAAGAGGGAATGGACATGCGTATACCTATAGCCGGTTCATGTTGATGTATGGCAGAAACCAGCACAATATCGCAAAGCAATTCCCCTTAAATTATAAGTAAATTAAAAAAGAATCCACCTACCAATGCAGGAGACACAGGAGATGCAGGTTTGAGCCCTGGGTCAGGAGGATCCCCTGGAGGAGGAAATGGCAACCCACTCCAGTGTTCTTGCTTGAGAAATCCCATGGACAGAAGAGCCTGATGGGCTACAGTCCATGGGGTTGCAAAGAGGCAGACATGACTGAGCAGGCACTGATGCACAGGAACCTGGCTCCTGGGCCTGTCTACTTACAAATTATGCTGTTCTACTTCTTTCTTACAGCAGAAAAAAAAAAGGGTGGGGGGAGTGGGAAAGAATAATAAAATACATGGAGACTTCCCTGGCAGTCCAGCGGTTAAGACTCTGAGTTCCCAATCCTGAGGATACAGGTTTGATCCCTAGTCAGGGAACTAAGGTCCTGGGTGTGGCCACACAAAAAAATGAGGGTAGTTGAATAAATCACAGCATGTCCTCTTACTGATAGAATACTGATGCAGTCACTGAACAGCTGTGTTGTAGACTGAAAAGAACAAGTGCACAAGGTATGTGATATGATTCAACATTTACAAAACAAAGAGGGAAGAGTACCTATATAGGTGTACGCTTAGGAATGTATGGGAACAACAAGTGTTGGCAGACTTCTCTGTGAGCCAGAGGGTAAATACTTTCAGTTTGCAAGCCATATGGCCTTTGCCACAACTACTCAGCTCTGCCACTGGAGCACAAAAGCAGCCACAGACATCACACAAACAAATGAACATGGCTGTGTTCCAATAAAACTTTATTTAAAAAACGTGTGGCCAACCAGATGTGGCTGATGGCCAGTTTGCTGACTCCTGACAGATGATTCGGAGCCTGTATAAACATATAAAAGAGTTCATACTAAAAGGTTCACCATAAATGGTGGAGGTGGAAAGGGGGTAGTAGAGCTGAGCTCATCATGAAAGAAGACAAAAACTACACTATGAATATCAGAATCACATTTATGCATTTACCAAAAAAAGTACATTCATCTGTGTACACAAAGAAATTAATAATTATTGACTGAGCAATCTCAGGGTGTAAATTCAATAAGGAGTAAATGTTTAAACAATTGTTAGGTTCTTTTTAAAAATATATAATCAACACCTCTGGTTACACAGTGAATTCTGTAGCAAAAACTACAGAATTGAGTATGTGTGTGTGTGTGTGTGTGTGTGTGTGTGTGTATGCTAACCTGCATATATAAATATACATACATATGTAAGTATACAGATACACACACATACACATAATATTGCCAAGTCATCATTTAGTTTGCTGGCAGCCTAAAAATAATGATATTCCACATTAAACAGGGTTATCATTAATATAAATTCCCACAAGTTTTCCTGTAAATAATCTGATAACAATCTGTCTTACTCTATAGAAACTCTTTTCTCAAAGTATTAGGGTTTTGTCCTCAAATGAATTTTATAACTTTTAATGAAGCTAGTACAAATATAGACATTTCCACTCATTCTTAAAAGTTCTTTCCTGAGTAATTTCCTTCATGTAAAATATGTGTAACTTGGAGACATGCAGTGCATCCCTAGAGCTTTCCTGAAGCAAGAATTCTATAATATATGATTATATCTGCCTCATGTTTTTCCTTCAAGAAATTCAGTTAGTTTCACTAATGTTTATGATGTTTATGCATACTAGGAATTGACTTCTGGGTAAAGCCTTGCACAGATTAACTGCTTTTGTAAGATTTATCTCTGGTGTGAGTTGTCTGATGTTTATTAAAATTTGATCTGTTGTTGAAGCTCTTCCCACACTTGGAACACACATAAGGCCTCTCTCCTGTGTGAATTCGTTGATGCACTTTGAGTTGTGGTTTCCTACTGAAGGATTTCCCGCAGTCACAGCATTCATAAGGTTTCTCTCCAATATGCGTTCTCTGATGTGTGATTAACTCTGATTTCTCAACGAAGGTGTTCCCACACTTGTAACAGGCAAAGGTTCTCTCTCTATTGTGAGTCATCTGATGTTTATGGAAATTTGACCTACCATTGAAAGCCTTCCCACATGCAGTGCATACGTAGGGTTTCTCTCCTGTGTGGATCCGCTGATGCTCTCTGAACTGTGACTTGGAAGTAAAGGCCTTCCCACAGTCACTGCATTTGTAAGGCTTCTCTCCGGTGTGAATTCGCTGATGCATGCTGAGGATTGATTTCTGGTTGAAGGCCTTCCCGCATTCACTGCACACGTGGTGTCTTTCTCCAGTGTGAATTTTCTGGTGTATGTTGAGGTGTGACTTTTGGGTGAAGGTCTTCCCACAGTCACTGCATTCATAAGGTTTCTCCCCAGTGTGGATTCGATGATGTATATCAAGTTGTGACTTGGAAATGAAGGATTTCCCGCAGCTGTGACACTGATAAGGCTTCTCTCCAGTGTGACTTCTCTGATGTACAATCAGGTGTGCCTTCTGGATAAAGGCCTGGCCACATTCAATACACACATAAGACTTCTCCCCTGAATGGATTCTCTGGTGCAAGCTGAGTGTTGACTTCTGGGTGAACGCCTTCCCACATTCACTGCACACATACTGTCGCTCACCAGTGTGGATTTTCTGATGTATACTGAGAGTTGAATTCTGGGAGAAGCCTTTCCCACATTCACTGCATTCATAGAGTTTTTCTCTCGTATGGGTTCTCTGATGTCTGAAGAGAGATAACATCTGGAAGAAAGTTTTTCCACATTCATGGCATTTATGGGGCTTCTTTCTAGTATGAGTTTTCTGGTGTGTAACCAATTCTGGCCTCTGAATGAAGACTTTTCCACATTCCTTACATATATATGGTATGTTACCTATATGATCTGTCACACAGACCCCAAGTTTTGGTTGTGAGGTGAAGGCTTTCCCGCATTTACTACATTCCTGGAGGTTTTCTACACTATGGAATCTCTGTTGCTCAAGGAGGTGTGACTTGTGGGTGAAGTCCCTCCCACATTCAGTACACTTATCTGGTTTTTCCTGAGTATGAACTTGATGTTGTGTGAGTAACTGTTTCTGGCTGAAGGCTTTTGTACATGTATTACCTTCACGGAAGTTCTCTCCTGTGTGAGTATTCTTGCAGCTGGCACTGGAAGAACTATGGGTGACTGACTGACCAGATCCAACCATATCATCAACGTGTTTTGTGGTACTGCTTTGATTTTGATGAGTTGCTTCTAGGTTAGGCTTCAACGTTTTTGCAAATGAGCAACATTTATGAGGTTCCTTTTGTGAAGAAGCAAGGTGGGGCCTTGCCTGGATGACTTTTCCAGGGTCCTTGTAGTCACAGTCCCTCTCTGTGTTCAGTGTTTTCTTATTGAAGAAAACTCCCTGATGTGAAGGTTTATTTTGATTTTTCAGATCTCCCTCTGTTGGGTCAGCTTGTTCCCACAGTTCTTCTAAAATGCAACACCATGAACCATCTCTTATGACTCCACCCATCATCTCATTGTGAAATGAAGCTTCTTCAGAAATCTCCCGTTGTCGGGTTTCAAGCCCAAACTCCCCTTCTAGAAGGAGAACAAGATGAAATAGATTCAGTGAACAATTAGCAAAGGATAGAAGAGAAGTCACATGGAGCTGATTGAGATTGTGCATGGGGAAACTGCTGAGTCATATACCAGTGGTAGTGCTGATGGTGATCATGAGAGAAAACAGTCACACAGCCCTTACTATATGTCAAGCACGTATCTGTATAGCGCTTAGCATTTGCTAGGCAGTGTTCTATGTGATGCACACGTAAGCTCATTCAATCCTCACAACCATCCCAGGAGGTAACTACTTATTATCCTGGCTTTCTACATGAAGCAAAGGAAATAGAATGGTTAAATAATTAGCCAAAATCACTTTGCTCAGCCACGGGGAAAGTTAAGATTTTAACAAAGGCAACCCGACTCCACTCACACAGGTGATCTAGATACCCAGACCTAGTAGAATGACTACAGGATAAAAGAGACAAGAGTGTCATAGGGCAGCATCTGTGCATAGCCACAGCTTGAAGGAGGGGTTCAGAGTGCAGAGCTCTCTCTCGACTTACAATGGGGTTATGTCCTGATAAGTCCATCGTAAGTTTAAAATATCATAAATCAGAAGTGAACTGAATACACCTAACCTACTGAACAAAGCTTAACCCAGCCTACTTTAAATGTGCTTAGAAGACTTATGTTACCCTAAGGTTCAGCAAAAGCATCTTTTATGTTACCCTAAGGTTCAGCAAAAGCATCTAACAAAAGACCTGTTTTATAATAAAGTATTGAATATTTCACACAATTTATCGAATATTGTACTGAAAGTGAAAAATAGAGTGGTTATCTGGGTACAGAAAGGTAGTAAGTGTATTGGTTGTTTCCCTTTATGATCATATGGCTGACTGGGAGCCTGGCATCATGAGAGTATAGTACCATGTATCGCTAGCCTGGGAAAAGATCAAAATTTACAATTCAAAGTATAGTTTGTACTAAATGTGTATGACTTTCATAACACTGTAAAGTTGAAAAATCGTAAATTGAACCATCACAAGTCAGGGACCATCTGTATAGGTTTATGTTAAAGATCTACATTGTGATTAATCTCCCAGCTTCCTCCTACTCATTGGAAACAATACCAAAATCATTCAGCCCTAGATATCCTCTGATAGACTATTAAAGCATTAATCCTGACATGGCCAAGCAGTGAAAGAATACCTATACTCAAACTCACAATTCTATGAAACTGAAGTTTGTTTCCCTGAACTTAGGAATGTACATATCCCAAGAAGGGAAAACTAGAAGACTGGACAAGCATGCGGTCCCCTAGAATCTGTAACACCCTCTTACACAGAGGTTAACTGTGGCCAGGCACATGGCAGCCAAGCCACGTAATGACTCACAATTTCCTTTGCAGTGATGTGTGACGGTGAGACTGTTCTTGCTAACAGAATGGGCATACAGCATTATGCACTGCTTCTAGCCAGAGTAATACATCACAACTTCTCAGTATCCTCCACCCCTTTTCTGCCTAGTAGAACCTGGCTTTGGTTGCAATGCACTCAATCCTGAAGATTGACAGCATCATAAAAGATGGTACTACAATGACAAGAGAAAAACTTCAACACCTGAATGAATACAAAACGTAAGGCTTCCTGCTGACCTGACTTTTATAAGTGTTTTATAGGGAGAAAATTATTCTGGAAATTATTATACTGGATCTTGGTCTCTTTGTTATAACTTTCAGCCTAATGCTACTCAATATACCATTTTTTTGTTAAGAACAGAAGTCACTGATCATCTAGTTTACTAGTAAGAACATAAGACAAAACAGAGTCTTTAAAAAAAGGTGGCTGAATTTTACTATTACTTTATCCTATCAGAGATTTAAACACTGAGTATGGTTAAGACCATCATGTCTTGTTTTCCTTTCTCTTTCAATCACTTGGATAAACTATCCTAGACCCTTGTCCTGTTCCCAAACCTCAGTCATCTATCACTTTTTAAAAAATGAGAATGATCTTTATTTTTACTATTTTTAGTAATAATTTAGTAATAATTTTATTTCTTATCTTACTATTTTTACTATTTATATATAGCATTAAAATCTGAGAAAAAGAAATCAATCTTTGGGGTAATTTATCAATGTCATCTTGACTGAACTCATGATGACTGGGAATCCACAAATCCCATTAGGAACAAAATAACCCAAGCATGAGAAAATAGCTGGTTTATGGTGATACCCCTGGAATTAAGAAAAAGAGTCAACTTAACTGCTTTTAAAAAGAAAATATAGTAGAATTTCTAAAATAACAAGTTAGAAGACTAAGATGGGAGAGCCAAGAAACAGAAGAATCTTCTGGACAAAACGTATAAGGCGAGAAGAATTTCTGATATGCATAGTTGTAGTTTCCTGGAGTTTGGAAACTTCCTCTATTACAATTCCCTTCCCGGGATGGGTCTCTGTCCCTAGCTCTTTTGTCTCTCTTTTTATCTTTTATATTTTGTTCTACCTCCTTTCGAAGACAATGGGCTGCTTTTCTGGGCACCTGATGTCCTCTGCTAGTGATCAGAAGTTGTTTTGTGGAGTTTGCTCAGTGTTCTAATGTTCTTTTGATGAATTTGTAGGGGAGAAAGTGGTCTCCCCGTCCTATTCCTCTGCCACCTTTGATATGCATAGTAGTAGTAGTAGTAGTGTTAATCGCTCAGTCATGTCCAACTCTTTCTGACCACATGGACTGTGGCCCGCCAGACTCCTCTGTCCATGGGATTCTCCAGGCAAGAATACTGGAGTGGATTGCCATTCCCTTCTCCAGTCTGCTGTGCATAATGATTCCAATTTCTGATTTCCTCAAAATAAAGGAAATGAGACATCCCACAGGAACTGTCCACCATGAAGCTAAATGAGAACATGGTTTAGGCATGGGGACTGGAGGCACTGATAAGGGATCATCAGGAAAAAAAATTTTAGGCTTAAGTGTTGAGAATAGAAGAGTCCTTCAAAGTAATTCCTCTATGAAGGGATGACCAGAGGGAAGTACAGGGGCCCAAGTTGGAGGCACCACAATTAGGGATAAAGAAGAAGGATTCAGTGCAGAAAAAAAATGAGTTCAGAGGACAAATAAAAAGGCCTTCAGGAAATTCCACAAAGGGATAAAATGAGACGACAAAAGCAACATACAGATGGAAAATCCAATCAGATAACAGATATGATGAAATGCTCTATTCCTAGAAAAATGAAAACAGCTCTATCATAATATGGGCCATAAATAAGAAATTTGATAAATATTATATATATTGGCAAGCAAGATGTAAAAATGATTTACTTAGCCAGATTAAGTGTAGTCATATCCAGTGATCAGGCAATCCCCCTTGACTATTCACCTCTGAGAAATTCTTATGTTGGCCCCTACGGAACATTCTGCTGGTAAAGAATCTGCCTACAATGTGAGAGACCTGGGTTTGATCCCTGGGTTGGGAAAATCATGTGGAGAAGGGAAAGGCTGCCCACTCCAGTATTCTGGCCTGGAGAATCCCAGGGACTGTATAGACCATGGGGTGGCAAAGAGTTGGACACGACTGAGTGACTTTCATTTTCTCATTTGGGGCTTCCCTGGTGGCTCAGAGGTTAAAGCGTCTGCCTGCAATATGGGAGACCTGGGTTCGATCCCTGGGTCAGNCCTGGGTTCAATCCCTGGGTCGGGAAGATCCCCTGGAGAAGGAAATGGCAACCCACTCCAGTATTCTTGCCTGGAGAATCCCATGGACGGAAGAGCATGGTGGGCTACAGTTCACGGGGTCGCAGAGTTGGACATGACGGAGCGACTTCACTTCACTTCACGGAACATTTACAAAATAATGTATGGCAGCATTAGCCTTAATGCCACATTACAAAATAATGTATGGCAGCATTTGTTTTAAGGAGTAGGAGATAACATGTGTCCACCACTGGGGGAATGGATAAGGGTGGTAGGTTGAATAATGGCCCCTCATGGATCTACATGACTTGACAGTCACTCACCATGATACCTCTGACATGGGAGTTCAGTTTCTCTCACCCATGGCTCCTTTCCTTCTTCAATCCTAAAAATGACCTCTGGGTTGGGAATGTGATACCCTGTGAATAAGAAAGGATATTGCATTAGGATGTGGTATTGGGCTTCAGAGAAGAGCATGTCAACCCACTCCAGTATGCTGCCTGGAGAATCCCATGGACAAAGGAGCCTGATGGGCTACAGTCCATGGGGTTGAAAAGAGTCGGACACAACTGAAGTGACTTAGTGTGCAGATGTACATTGGACTTCAGAGGCCATTCAATGAAGCTTTCTTTCATTGACACATCTTTCATTAGGAACAAGGTAACATTCAAAGATTCCCAAGAGGAATGAACAATTTGGGACAAGCCCAGGACAAACTGATTACATTCTTCAGATGTCCCACTACATGCCACAAGAAGGAAGGACATCTCATGGAGGCCCGTCCAAGAGTCCCATGTCAGGTGTGCTCACCCACGGAGAAAAAGTGGCTGTAGATCTCCAGCATCACATCCTGATACAGGTGTCTCTGTGCAGGGTCCAGCTGCTGCCACTCCTCCCTGCTGAAGTCCATGGTCACATCCTCAAAAGACACTAACCCCTATAACAACATACCCCAGCTCAATGAGAATTAGTCATCACTGGTGAACTTATATACAAGGGTGTGTTTTTAATGACTTCACCATGCTATATATGGCTTCCCACTAACTACCTGTTTCATATTGTATAAAATCAGAATCAGGGCAAGAAAACAATATTTTTATTGTTTTCTTATCTATCTTTAATATCTTATTTAATATTAAAATAAGAAAAAAGCTAATAAGGATTAGGTTGGCCAAAAAGTCTATGGTTTCTATATGTTCCTGAACAAACTTGGCCAACCTAATATCATGCATCTTAACACCTTAACTGTACATGAAGTGCTCTTAAAATTCAGCCAACTCCAACACAAAATGAAATACATTTTTCTACAAGGCAGTGTTTGCCACTATTGTGGGCTGAATTGTGATACCCCCCACCCCCCGCCTCCACACTGATTCATATGCTGAAATCCTAACCCCCAGAACCTCAAAATGTGCCTGTATTTGGAGATACACAGTATTTAAAGTGGTAACAAAGTTAAAATGAGGTCCTTAGAGTGGGTCAATTTTATTTTAAAAACACACGAAAGGTCATGAAATACACAGAACAACTTAGAATTTCAGGAAGAGTATAACCACGAACCCTGCTTCCTCATTCCAAAATATCAAATATTAATATCTGCATTATTCCTGGGCACTTTTATTTTATCTTTTAAAAGAGGAAAAACCTCACAGTCCTGAAAAGCTAGTTCTTGCTCTAGTATCCTGTGACTGTAAATTCTGAGGACAGAGGAGAAACCAGCCAATCTCCAGTGAGGAGTCAGGTGGGGATCAGCTGAAACAATGCAAAGACCCAGCAGTGGATGGAGGATGAACACATGCATGAAGGATGCCTGTGCTGAGCAGGAAGGAGTCAGCATTTCCTGGCCTGTGGCTGCAGCTACCTTTTCTTCTTCCTTTTCCCCAGGGCCAACCCTCTTCTCCTACACATCCTCCTGCATTGGTCAGTTCAGTTTCCTCTACAAGACAGTGCCTGTGGATGAAGAAATGTTAGCTATCAGTGCTCTGCTCTCTGCAGGAGAATCCAGATTAGACACAGGGAGTCCGGAGTCTGCTGCTTCCTGTGTCTGCCCTCAAGTTCCGGAGAACTGCCACTGGGGTGGGGATGGCTCCTGCTTACCTCACACGATCCATCCTGCTCCTCTGAACCCAAGAACTGGGGCCTTTGGGGCAGATTTGCGTCAGCAATCATGTCCCTTCTGGGCTTCAATTCTTGGTCTCTTTTGCTGACAACTCCACTCTTCCCAGGAGCCTGCAGCTGGGTGGGCATCAGAAGGCTCCAATCAGAGCTGCTGGCAGGAGTCAACCTGAGCTGTGTAGGGAGATCCTGCAGTCTCCGTGATGTGGCCTGACCCAGGGGCTCTGGAGGGACACCGGAAATCCTGGAAAGGCAGTAACCACATCATTACTCATTTAATATCCACTCCACAGGAATTTCTGAGGGCCACTAGGTGAAAGTCACTGTGTTCACAACATGAGGGTAAACAAAACTCAGGAATCTATCTATTGGGGTAAAAAATAAGAAAAGATGAAGAGATTTGGACTAAAGTTCATGAAGATTTAGTTGCAGCTCTGACACACCTTTTTAACTACGAGAAGAGAAAGATATTATTTTAGTGGCAGTTTCCAAAATGAAAAGGAAGGTATTATCATAGGCATTGAGAAACTTCCATGAGATGAGGTTTGTCAAGTCCTCAGAACCTCAGAACCTGGCACATGATAAACAATAAAAAATAAAAATTATTTTATTTATTACTTGCTGAATAAAAATCAGCAAGTTGCTGAGTCAGGTATCAGATACCTTGAGTACTTCTCATACCACCCTGTCAGCTAATTATCATTATTATACTCATTTGAGGACTTCCCTGATAGCTCAGTTGGTAAAGAATCTGCCTGCAATGCAGGAGACCCTGGTTCGATTCCTGGGTTGGAAGATCCCTGGAGAAGGGAAAGGCTACCCACTCCAGTATTCTGGCCTAGAGAATTCCATGGACTATACAGTTCATGGGGTCTCAAAGAGTCAGACTGAGCAACTTTCACTTTCATACCCATGGATTTCCTCATGGATGAGGAAAACTGAAGCTAACTGCTGTTACCTAGATTGCCTTAAGGTCACTTAGTCTCCAAAGGGAAGCTGAGGGATTCTGAGGCGGCCCAGGCCTGCTTCACTTTAAACTGCACACAGTTGCCGCTGTTCCGTGTGGTCTTCTACGTAGTCAGTTTCCAGAAACACCATTTACACTTCCTGTTGCCTTCAGAGAGTTTAGGCTTCAGGTAGCTCATGTCTGGAACTGAGGTTCTGGACATTTCAGTGCCCATCCATAATACAGACAGCTCAACCTTTTCTGACAAATCTCAAATTCAATGTATGGAACCCCACCTTCACTTGGAAAACCTGCAGACATGTACTAGGACTCCCAATCACCATTAGATAACCCCCAACATACGGTTCCAAATAATGCACCCCAGGAGGAAACTATCATTGATTCGCTCAACACCCAAGCACTTATCCTTAGCCATGTCCACAGAAAGCCAAGTTGAGACCAACACTGACACACTCATTCATTTCCAAAGGACAACACTCACTACCCAGAAAGCAAATCAGTCAGCTTCACAAACCCATCACTGGCCCACTAGGTCTCCCATCAGCTGGTTCCCAAATGCTGCCCTTGGCATCCCAAACACTTTACTGATTTCACAAATCCTCCCTCAATCACTGTCTCCCTTGAGTGTGTTACAATGTGACCCTCAAAGC